ATATATAGTATATAGAGTACATAATACAACATGAATTTTTGAGGGTGAAAGGAGCCAGGATAGATAAAATGGTGTTCAGGAGTCCTCTTGGATCAAGGCTCTTTTCAGGCTGATGGTCCACAGGGTCAAAGATGTCACAGATCTGGGCAGTGGCAGAAAAGCCACATCTCATATTCCTTTTTCTGCCAGGTTGCAGAGGCAGTGTTAACATCTCAATTGAAACCACATCAGAAGAAACCGAATTTTATCATCAAGGTTCCAAAGGTAATGCCTTTTACTTTCCTTTTCTATTGGAGTGCCTGGGAGGACTGACCTCTGTTTTTCTTGTCTCTCTGAGCCCTTTTAATACTCATGTAAACAAAATCTGTTTATTTGTTTGTTTTACAAATTCATAAAATTCTAGGTAAGCTCAGAATTCTCATTTTAATCTCAACTTTATATATGCAGCTTAAACTTTTAGCCTTAAATGGTCTTAATTTTTACTTTTATATTGTGGCTGCCTTTGTTTTCCAGGGCACCAGAGATCTTAGTCCTCAACAGATGGTTGTGAGAGAGAAAATTCTTGCTAAGATTGTCAGCTGCTTTAAACGTCATGGAGCAAAGGGGTTGGATACCCCAGCAATTGAGCTAAAGGCAAGGAGAGAACGGTGCCTAGAACCACATGTCTTACCTGCTTTCAATGTCCCAAGGAGCTTTTCTGTAATCAGTCTTTTGAATTGTGGCTCTTTTTGTCTGACTCTTGCAGGAAATGCTTACTGAAAAGTATGAGGACAACATTGGGCTCATGTATGATTTGAAGGATCAAGGTGGAGAGCTGCTATCCCTCCGCTATGACCTTACTGTATCCTTCTGAGTGCTGGATCCTGACCTTTTTCTTCCCACATCTAGAGCAGTTTCTCTGACAGGGAGGAAAGGAACTTTGGCAGTATTTTCACAGGTTTCTCCCAGAAGGCAATTCCGCCATCAGGGCCTGCCACTTAACTTCAGTGTGTATGAGACTCTCTTGGGAAATTTGCAGAAACATAGATTCCTGACCCTAGCTCCAGAGATCCTTACTTGCATTTAGAAGAAAATTATTTATCTTTAATATGTATGTGTATCTGTACATGGTGTGTGTGTGCATGTGTGTGGAGGTCAGAGGACAACCTTTTGGAGTCAGTTCTCTTCTAACACCTTTATAGGTGTTCTGGGGATAGATTCAGGTTGCCAGACTTGTGCAGCAAGCACCTTTACCTATGGAGCCGTCTTGCTCGCCCTAAAAATAGAATCCTAGATAATGTGTATGGTCCTTGGTGTATGCTTTTAGAAACAAAGGTTTGAAATTAGAGGCAAATTTGATTCTGAAACTTGACTGTTTTTTATTTAGTTGGTTGATCTGAATGGGAGGAAATGGCCCAGGTCTGAATTTCTTAGGTCATTTTTATCTCTGCCTCTTCTATTTTCTGGTCAGCTCGCAGTTTCAGTAAGATGCCTTCATTTGACAGTATTCAATATATATTGAATGCCAAGCACTGCTAGTGAGGAACAAGCCAGAGAAGGTCCTTGTTTTCATCCTGGAGGGTATGGGTTTAAGCTTTGAATGTTGTATTTTCCTTAACCTATTTATGTGAGGTCCCTTTTGCTCGCTATCTGGCCATGAATAAATTGAAAAAGATGAAACGATACCAAGTTGGAAAAGTATGGCGGCGAGAGAGCCCAACCATAGTCCAAGGCCGCTACAGGGAGTTTTGCCAGTGTGTAAGTGACTTGACTAGAACAGCAGCAAAGTTTAATAATAGTTAACTTATGGATTGACTGATCAGTGGATCCATCCCTCCTCCCCCCTCCTCCTCTTCTTCTCCCTCTCCCATTCTTCTTCCCTCTCCCCCCTCCCTCTCTAGGACTTTGACATTGCTGGTCAGTTTGATCCTATGATCCCTGATGCAGAATGTTTGAAGATCATGTGTGAAATCCTAAGTGGATTGCAGCTGGGGGACTTTCTCATTAAGGTGAGGCCAGGGGGAAGACTGGGGGAGAAGTCTAATGGGCCTGAGAAATTTTCTTTGATTACTTTTTATGAATCAGGAGATTAGAGACATGCGTTGTTTGGAGGGAATGGGCATTGATTGACAGGACACATGGGTTACTTACATTGAATTCACAGATCAATGATCGGCGAATTGTAGATGGGATGTTTGCTGTCTGTGGTGTTCCTGAAAGCAAGTTCCGTACCACCTGTGCCTCAATGGACAAACTAGACAAGGTAATAAAGAAAACACCCTTTAGTATACCCTGTCTGGGTTTCTACCCTGCCTTCTAATCCATGCCATTAGAGAAAAATGAGACCATGGCTGGAAGTGCTTGATTTATGAGGAAAAAAATAAGGAGACTTTCTGAATCAAAGTCTAAATTGTGCTATACTGTGGCTGCATTTTTCTTTCTTTTTTAGATAGGGTCTCATTTTGTAGGCCTGGTGGCTTGGAACTCTATGTAGACCAGGCTGGCCTTGAACCTAACCCATAGAGATCCACTTGCCTCTACCTCCCAAGTGCTGGGATTAAAGGCTGGCTGTGGCTGGATTTCTTTTTTCTTTTTTTAAAAATTTTTACAAAAACTTTATTGAGAATTGCATATAAGGTGTTTTGATCAAATCCATGCCCACTCTCTCCCCTCCAACATTCCCCCCTCTGAAGAGGTAACCCTAAAAATCTTTTAAGGATTAGATACAAGCTCCCAAATACTGTTGACATTTTCAGCCTTGGAACAGAGTATGTTGCTAATAGGCCCAAGGACATTTTGACTTCTAGCCAAGAAACTGGCTACATTTCTTTGGGGTCGTGGCTGGATTTGTAATGTTGCCTGAGTACACTATTAGCTACTTAAGGCATATATACCAAATGAAAGTGAGATGTCCAGTTCCAGTTAGAGAAAGAAGGATTTGGGGCTGAGCTAATGTGTGGGTATCTACGCAGATGTCTTGGGAAGATGTGAGACATGAGATGGTGACAAAGAAAGGCCTGGCCCCTGAGGTGGCTGATCAAATTGGGGACTATGTCCAGTGTCACGGTAAGAACCAGGGTTTTCAGAGCTGTGATAGAACCAGGCTGAGGGTGACACAGGTTCAGCTTCTACCTCTAAATCAGCTCTAGAGTCTGGTTTAAATTAAGTTTCTCTTTTGTTTGTTGTAACTATTTTGTGTCTATAGCTGGTAAAAGAAGAAGCAGAAGAGGAGGGTCTGGCCATATGAGACCAGGTTCATGGTCTTTTTAAAGAAAATGAGGAAGACTAGCTAGAGCATGTTAAGAGATAAATTGGGATGAAAACATCTTGGTAAATAGCACAGATTTTTACCCGACTTTTCTCCCCAGGAGGGATATCCCTGGTAGAGCAGATGTTCCAGGATCCCAGACTGTCCCAGAACAAGCTGGCCATGGAGGGCCTGGAGGACTTGAAGCTGCTCTTTGAATACCTTTCTTTATTTGGAATTGCTGAAAAGGTAAGTGGAGTTGGGAGTGGACAACCTGTGAGCTGTAGGGTTCTCAGAGTCTGGTCTGAGAGTGACTGTGGCCTGTTCCCTACAGATCTCCTTTGACCTAAGTCTGGCTCGGGGCCTAGACTATTATACAGGGGTTATCTATGAAGCGGTGCTGCTACAGGACCCAGCTCAGGCTGGGGAGGAGCCTCTGAATGTGGGCAGTGTGGCTGCTGGTGGGCGCTATGATGGACTGGTAGCCCAGTTTGATCCCAAGGGCCACAAGGTGCCTTGTGTGGGGTTGAGCATTGGAGTAGAGCGAATCTTCTACATTGTGGAGCAGAAGATGAAGGTAGGTTCTAGGCAAAGATGAAGTGGGTCTGTAAGCTAATAACCAATTTCTTGAGGTGTGGTTGGGCTTTTTTTTTTTTTTTTTTTTTTTTTTTTTTTTTTTTTTTTTTACGCACTTATGATCATGTTATTTTTGGAATTGCTAGGGTAAAGAAAAATTTTGAGGTTTTTTTTTGTTTCGTTTTGTTTTCGTTACTGTTCTTTGTTTGTTTAAGCTTTCTGAGATAAGATTTCTTTCTGGTCCAGGCAGTCCTCAAATTTACTCTTCCTGCTTCAGCATCCTGAGTACTGGGATTACAGGCATGAGTGCCACCATGCCTATTTTTACTTCTTTCTCTGTTGTTTTATCAGACTTTAGGTGAGAAGCTAAGAACCACAGAGACTGAAGTGTTTGTGGCCACACCCCAGAAGGATTTTCTTCGAGAACGGTTGAAGATAATTGCAGAGCTTTGGGATGCTGGTATCAAGGTATGGTGGTGCTGATATCTGAGCCACCTAGGTATATACAAAAATGATGAACATAGCTCATTTCTACCTTCTGCCTAGGCTGGAACTCAAGACCTTTTTAGCTTACCACTGGAAGGCTAGCTGCTTATTTCTGACTTCCTTACATGTTCTTGGAGATTGTGTGCTGTGGTCACTTTAAGTCTTCTTCTCTATTTTTATCCTTTTCAGGCAGAGATGCTATATAAGAACAACCCTAAATTATTAGCCCAGCTACACTTTTGTGAGAACACAGGCATTCCTTTGATGGTCATTATTGGTGAGCAAGAACAGAATGAAGGTGTCATCAAGCTCCGTTCAGTGGCCAGCAGAGAAGAAGTAAGTGAGAGCTGGCAGAACTAAGGGACCAAATGTCCCCCGACTTTAAAAATTTATTTATTTATTTTTATTTTATGTGTATGAATGTATTATTTGCATTTGTGTAAGTACACTCATGTTGTGCAATGCCCATGGAGGTCAGAAGAAGGCACTGAATTCCCCTGGAACTGGAGTTATGGGCAGTTATCAGCCACCATGTGAGTGCTGGGACTTGAACCCAGGTCCTCTGTATGAGCTGCCCGTGTTGGAGCCATCTCTCCAGCCCCAGCTCTTCAATTCTTATAAGAGATGTGTTCTCTCTTAGGGGCTGGAAAGATGGCTCAGTGGTTAAGAGCACTGGCTGCTCTTACAGAGGACCCAGGTTTGGATCTCAGCACCCACATGATGGTTAACAACTGTCCTACCTAACTCCAGTTCCAGGGATTCTGACACACTTTTCTGACCTCCTCAGGCATTGCACGACACGGGTACATTACATACATGCAGGCAATGCACTTATACACATAAAATAAAACAAAATATTTTTAAAAGATGTGTTCTCGCTGGGTGTGGTGGTGCACACCTTCAATCCCAGCACTCAGGAGGCAAAGGCAGGTGGATCTCTGTGAGTTCAAGGCCAGCCTGATCTACATAATGAGTTCCAGGACAGCTGGGGCTACAGGGAGACTCTATCTCAAAAAGACCAAAAAAAAAAAAAAAATTACATTTAGTTTTTGTGTCTCTGTGTGTGTGTGTATGTGGGCACACATATGCCATAGCATGAGTGTGTATGTCGTAGGACAACTTGCAGGAGTCAGTATTCTCCTTCTGCTATGTAGGTATCAGAAGTTGAACTCAGGTCATCAGGCTTGGCACCAAATACCTTTATCTGCTGAACCATCTCCATGGTCCAGGAAATACCTTCAGGATAATAATAAAAATGAATGATGACTCACCTTCATCAGCCATTGTATTGGCTGTGTGGACAGGAGGACAAATAAGATTTGACTTGTTTTGGGAATAATCAACAAATAGGGATCATGTATTTGGAGCTCCTTAGTCTTACGAGTATATAGTCTCCAGGTCAGCTTAACGCCTCCACTACCTTCTACTTGTAGAAATCAAACAGATGCAGAGTAGAGTGAATCTGGAAAAACAGGCTACCGCACTAGCAGCACTTTCTAGTTTGTCACATAAGGGTTCTCTTATGTTTTAGGTGATCATCAAGCGAGAAAATCTTGTGGCTGAAGTTCAGAAGCGACTGTCTGAGTCTTGATCATTGCCTGATTGCCATCTCCTTTCCTTTCAAGAAAGGTTTTCGTCTAGAACAGGGTTCTGGTGGACTTTATTCAGCTGGCCAGCATGGATGACAAGTGCCTTCTGCTTCCTCTGTCCTTCCTGGATTCAGAACTATAGAAGACCCTGGATTCAGAACGATAGAAGGCCCTGAGGACTCGTGGGCTAATATTAACAGCTACTCTGCCTGAGTGTAGATGGCTGGCATGTGAAAGGCATGTGCAAGCTGCAAAGGCAGATCTGAAGTGCCTCTGAATTCTGTCAAGAGATGTACAGATGGTTACTGGGAGCTAAGGCTAAGGATTTGGAATCATTGAAATTAGAAGCTAGACAGTCACTTAACTTTCTACTATAACTTTGGGAACAGATTCTAGAGAATTTGTCTACATCAGACTATGGCCTATCCATGGAGCATTCAGAAGATACCAAGAAAAAGAGCATAGAAAAAAAAAAGTCAAAAGATACTAAGAATGGACAGTGGGTAGAGATGCTGTCCCAAGAGCCTGGCAGTGCCCCTGTTGATTTTCCCAGTTAACAGTCGAAAGGTAGGGCTATTCAGTAATTGTGAATATTGAACTTAATAGATGACATGTTGGAAATCTGATCTTTTGATATTTTGGAGACCACCCACCTTGCCCATAGTCACTTCTCTGATTATTCCATCCCCTGCCATGGAGGATGTTCTAGAAATGGTTATTTAATATGTTTAATAAAAGAAGTGGGCTGGAGAGATGACTCAGTGATTAAAAGTGCATATTGCTTTTGCAGAGGACCTGAGTTCAGTTCCCAACACCTATGTTGGGTAGGTCACAGCTACTTTGTAACTCCAGCTCCAGGGGTTCCAAAACTGTCTTTTAGCCTCCTGAGGCACCTGCACTAAGTACATATACCCATACATATGCTTAAAAAATAAAACAATTATTTTTTTAGCACACACCTTTAATCCAGGCACTCAGGAGGCAGAGGAAGGTGGATCTCTGTGAGTTCAAGGCCAGCCTGGTCTACATAGTTCCAGGACAGCTGGGGCTACAGAGAGACCCTGTCTCAAAAAGACCAAAAAAAAAAAAAAAAGTGTAATAGTGGGGCTGGAGATGGTTCAGTGGTTAAGAACACTGGTTGTTCTTGCAGAAGACCTGGGTTCGAATCCCAGCACCCACATGGCAGCTAACAATTGTCCATAACTCCAGTTCCAGGGGATCTGACAGCCTCTTCTGTCCTCCATGGGCATTGCAGGACACGGGTGCACTTGCCTACATGCAGGCAATACACTCATACACATAAAATAAAAATATTTTTAAAAAGTAATAGTTTGAGTGATTTGTTACCAAGGGATTAGTTTGCATAAACCATAGAAAATATGTGAATGTACACTGGGGAAGACTATGAGCTATGAGTAACCTTCCTGTAGTGATACTTTTGTATTCAGTGAAGGGAACAGCTAGAATTCCTCCTTTCCCTACTCCCTACCAACTTGGAGATAGTCATGTTGCTAAAAAATCAACATAGGGTCAGTGAAATGGCTCAGCTGGTGGGGGCACTTGCCACCAAACCTGGTGACCTAGGTTTTATCTCTGGGGCTCACATTGCAGCAGAAAACTGACTCCCTTGGGTTGTTCTCTGGCTTCCACATGCTTGCTGTGGTGCTTGCACATGTGTGCGCACACAAAATAAATGTACACAAACAGGGATAGGGACCTGGTGTGATTGCTTAGATTTTGGGAGATGGAAGCAGGAGGATCAGAAATTCATATTCAACTTTGGGTTTATGTGAGACCCTCTTAAAAACCAAACCAAACCCACTTGAAATCCTAGCACTTGGAAGTTGGAAGCAGGAGGGTCAAGATTTCATTTATCCTCTGTTGCGTTGCAACCTGGGCTACATGAGACTCTGTCTCAACACTGCCACACCCAACCCAACATAAAGTAGACCATTTGCCAGAATGCTTCATTCTAGGGTGTTGGTTGATGGTGGCGTCAGGATTAAGTTGTTCCCTACAGATTGAATGTCTATACATGTTCTCCAGAAGAGGGCAAAATGAGTTTAACCAGAGTAGTATCACTGTTTCAGGGAAAAAGAGCCCAAATGTTATAAGTGCTTTTGGAAGGGTATAGATTAATTTACATTTGTAGTGCATGCTGATGAACGGGGCATCCAGAACCCCTGATAGCATTTTAGCTTTTTTGAAAAAGGCTTTGGAACTCGATATGTAGACCAGGTTGGCTTCGATCTCAGAGAGACCCGCCTGCCTCTGCCTCCTGAATGCTGAGATTAAAGGTGTTAATCACTACCCTCGGCTCTGTTTTACCTTTTAAAATAAGACTTAACTAGGCAGGGGATGTAGCTCAATTGGCGGAGTACTTCCCTAGTATGCCTGCACAGTATAAAAGGGCGTGGGGGGAGATGCCGATTATCTTAGCACTTGGGAGATGGATCCAGGAGAAATCAGAAGTTCAAGGCTAGCCTCCGCTATATAGCTAGTTAAGGGTCCAACCTGGGATACATGAGACCCTGTCTCAAAGAAGTTTAGGAATCCTGGCAATGTAAGTAAAGTTGATTAGATCACTGTGCACTGCTGCCTAACCTCAGGGCCTTTGTCTTAAAGACTAGTTGAACTAACTCTCCCGGGTTTGTTTTGGTAGCCCGTGAGAAAAACGTTTGCAGGCGCCCTTACTTCCGTGTTGCTTCATACTCCTGTTGCGCCTGCGTCATCTCGTTGGCGCGGAGGAGGGGCCAACAAGCCTGCCTTAGAATCTCTCCAGTCCTTAGCGCGGTTAGAATACGAGACTCCAGCCTGATTGGAGGGTGGTCTTGCCATACGGCTCCAGGACGCTGTTTACGGCATTTTCCAGCGTCCCATTCGCTTCGCTGTGAAGATGGCGTCCGGCAGCGGGGTAGGTGTTGGTGTGAGGAGGTTTGAGGGGTGGCGGGTGCTTTCTTCGCGCCGAATAGGGACAGGCTCCGGTACCCGACTGACTTCCTGACACCCCTTCGCGACCCCTGGGTCTGGGTTTGAGAACTGCTCCGTGGGGCTGTGGCGCAGGGACTGGAATCTCGGAAGTCTCTCGGGTTGGAGTCCGGAGCCCGCCTAGCCTCCGGGGAGGTCCAGGAAGGCTTCGTTCCGGAGAGGTCCCGGGGTGCCCGGGCGGCAGTTAGGCGATTCCTTAGTCTCTCCTGGGACTGGACACAGCGACGGACCTTGAGCACTTTTTCCCCCTACAGACAAAAAACTTGGACTTTCGCCGAAAGTGGGACAAAGATGAATACGAGAAGCTCGCCGAGAAGAGGCTCACGGAAGAGAGAGAGAAGAAGGATGGTGGGTGCTCGCTTCATCAGGGATGAGGGATCGTGGAGGCCGGTGCGGTGGCTCAAGAGTGGGTGGGAGGGTGAAGGACGCTGTCCTGCCTGCTGTCATCTCGGGTGCGCCTCCCTGTGGAAAATGAGAGGAGAGGTGGTGAGTCGAGGTGGTTTTGAGGTGCTCTTCAACTGTTACCCTCTGCTTCTTCGCTCCCCTTTTGCTTCTTCCAGTACTTTCCTGAAGTACACAGAGAGGAGGCTGGAATACATCATAGTGATTCCAACACAATTCCAATCCACAGAAGCTAAGTGGACTATATTGCCGCTGAGCATTGCCGCTAAAGACCATGCCTTCTATCCACTGAAATTTGATGGCGAGAAAAATTCTTGGCCAGGTTAAAACCCTCTCAAAGTGTTGGAAAAGCAGTGATAAGTACAAGGATTTTTTCATCTAGTGATCAGCAGTGTAGGCTTTTGAGACAGGGTGTCCCTGTAGCCCCCAGCTGGCCTGGAATTCCCTATGTAGACTAAGCTGGCCTCGACCTTGCAGAGATCCGCCTGCCTCTGGAGGGCTGGGATTAAAGGCGACTGCCACCGCCCTGGCAGCAGTGTAGTTTTTTTGTCCCTTATGGTGTCAGGGACTTGGAGATGGTCCTTTCCTAGAGTCCAAGTTACAAAAAGATGTAGTTTTGTACCTGTTTTCCAACTTATATTCTTTTTTCTTTTGATTTATTATTTTTATTTTATGTGTACATGTGTTTTGCATGTAAGTGCACCCATCTGTAAATGCCCAAGAAGAGATTGTTTGGATCCCTTGGAACTGGAGTTACAGACAGTTTTTAGCCACTCTGTGGATGTTGGGAACCTAACCAGGGTCTACTGCAAGAGCAGGCAGTGCTTTTAACCACTGAGCCATCTCTCTAGCCTCCTTAAATTCTTACTGTACTCTAAACCCTCATAAACCTTGTATACACTAACCCTTTTAGTTTTCTGTTTTGTTTTACTTTGACAGAGTCTCATGTATCCTAGGTTAGCCTCAGACTTACTAAGTGATCGAGGATGGCTTTGAACTTCTGATCCTCTTGCCTGTACCTCTGGACTGCTGGAATTACAGACATGAACTACGAACACCCAGTGCTAGGGATCAAACTTAGGTCTTTGTATAATCTAAGCAAGCACTCTACCAAGTGAGCCATATCCCTAGTCCTAGTTATTTACTGCAAGCAGCCATTTACTAAATATTGGTTGCTTTGGTTAGTTTTTATTGTCAATTTGACATACCCTAGAGTTACCTAGGAAAAGGGAACCGCAATTGAAGAGTTTCCTCCATCAAATTGACCTATGGGCATATCTGTGGGGCATTGTGTTGATTGGTGATTGATGTAGGAGGATCCAGCTCACTGTGGGCAGTACCATCCCTAGGTAGGCAATCCGGGCTATATGAGAAAGCTAGCAGAGAGCAAGCCAGTAGGCAGCATTCCTCATGGTTCCTACTTGAGTTTCTGCCCCAGTTCCTTCCCTGACTCGCCACCTGGAAGTGTGAGACAAACCCTTTCCTCCCCTGTTGCTTTTGGTCAGTTATCTGTCACAGTAACAAAAAGCAAATAGAACATTGGTCTTCTTTAAAAATTTGACCCAGTGTCTATAAAGTTCTTTTTTGTGTTATGTTCAGGGTGTCTGCATTGAAAGCGTTACTGCACATTATGTGATTGAGTATCTGTACTTCTCTTTTGATAGAGTTGCTTCTAGCAAAAATTCAGAACTTCTCAGTCAATGAATAGGAAACATTGTGTTTAGATTTGCTGGTTTTAAAGTGAAGGAAAGCTGTGAAGAGTTGGGGAATGCTGCTGGCTGCTGTTTGAAGTACCTATTTTGTTTCTTTGAGGAATCCAAAAATGAATGAGAGTAATCATCTGAATTTGGGCTTCATGCATTTCTTTTCCTTTCCAGCTGAGGAACTGTAATATTAAGGGGTTTCTTTCCTATTATGTTTCAGGAAAACCAGTGCAGCCAGTCAAGCGGGAGCTTCTCCGGCACAGAGATTACAAAGTGGACTTGGAATCCAAGCTTGGGAAGACAATTGTCATTACCAAGACCACCCCACAGTCGGAAATGGGAGGGTGAGTAGTGTTGTGTCTTTCTCTAAAGCTCAGAGTGGCCTAATAAATTATTGGTTTTAGGAAGTGTTGAGGAGAATCCCAGGCCCAAGGATGACAACCTTATTTATTGCCTATAATTCCATTCTTGTATTTGTTTTTCTTTGTCCCCCACTGTCTGAAGTCACTACAGTAGTATTTCTAAGAGGGGTTGTTCTGTGGGCTCTTCTTAGTAGTCTAACTACTTCCTTATTATCATAAAACAGATCATATGTTTTGTCAGAGGAAATGAAGGTACTTGGTTTATTTCTAGGGGAGAAATTAGGTGATGCTGGAATGGAGCAGAGGAGCTGTCAGTGGAGAAATCGAGGTTCTGGGCTAGCCTCAAAGACTGCAGTAGTTATGATTGTGTACCTTCTGACAAGACCAAGGCTGTAACTATAGGAAGAAGGGTTCCACCAGAGCATGTCACCCTTTGCTTCCACTCCTTCAAGTCTGTCAGGTTACAATTTCTAGCTGGAGAGCCACACAAATAGCAATTAGTGACATTTCTGTGAGCTGTTAAGTAAACTCACTGTTGTGATTCCTCTCTGTGTTAGTTTTCCTTTTCTGTATAAATTAGCAAATTAAAAGTTTAGCAGCATAAAATAACAAGTAGCTCATAGTTTCTGTGGGTATGGAATTGGGGAGTTTGCCTTGGTGGTTCTGGGTCAGAATCTCCTGAAGCTGCAGTTATGGAGTTTACTGGGTTTGTATTTACTTAGGCTTAAAGAAAGTTGGAAGATCTGCTTCTAAGCTCTTTCACATGCCTGTGGTTTGGAGGCTTAAAAATCCTGTTCCAGTGGGCTGCTCTGTGTGGGGTTGTTCACAATAAAATAACTAGCTTCCTCAGAGTAAGTAGTCCACACAAAGATAGAAGCCACTTTTTAGGAATGGTCTAATCTTAGAAGTAAGTGATATAGCATTTATTTTGACATGTTCTGTTGGTCACATGGAACACTGGTACAGGTTTGGAGGAGGCTACGTAGGGTGGGACTACTACAATGGCAGGGCTGCCTTGGAGGGTGACTAACACTTTCTCTCAAGAGGTAAGACTTTACGAAAATGAAGCCTTAAGACCTAAAAAGATGGGAGCCAGGTGGGGTAGCTCATGCTGGTAATACCAGCACTTGGGAGGCTGAAGCAGAAGGATAGCTGTAAGTTTGAGGCCTGCCTGGGTTACAGAGTGAGATCATGTTTTTTTGGTTTTTTTTTTTAAAGAAGAAAGATAAGATTTTTTTTTTTTTAAAGTGCTGGTCATGTGGCATACCTGCAATCCTCCCAGCACTCAGGCTGGGATAGTGAGACCCTATCTTAATAAACAGAACAGATTTCTTCATTGAAAACAGTAAAACCAGATTGACCCATGTGCTGTTTCTTCCCATTTGTCAGATATTACTGTAATGTCTGCGACTGTGTGGTGAAGGATTCCATCAATTTCCTGGATCACATTAATGGAAAGAAACGTAAGGCTTGGAGGTAGTTTATGACGGGAGCTGGGACTGGGTTTTAGAGATCTGGTTGAGGGAACGGTGGTAGAATGGTTTTCTTGGGTCCTTTCTCTGTGTGTGTGTGCATGCGCGTGTGGTGTATCCCTGTCCGTAGGGTGGCTGTGTCTGTATGTGCCTGTGCACGAGCACAGAGGCCAGAGGAGGATGTTGGCTGTCCTGAGTGGTGTTCTGTTTGGTAAATGCAGTTTAAAGTCACCTACTTCTTGTTATCTAGGACTGTTGCTTTTGAGAACAGGTGAGGCCAAGGGCTGCTTTTAGCCAGTTATTTTTGTTTTATATTTTATGAAAAGAGAGAGGGGGAAAAAAAAAGTCGAGACCAGACTTTTCTGAGGGCCTGAGGATGTAATGACCTGCTTTCTTCACTGTTAACTTTGCCCAGATCAGCGAAACCTGGGTATGTCTATGCGTGTGGAACGTTCCACTTTGGATCAGGTAAAGAAACGTTTTGAAGTCAACAAGAAGAAGATGGAAGAGAAACAGAAAGATTATGATTTTGAGGAAAGGATGAAGGAGCTCAGAGAGGAGGTGAGGCTCTCCTAATCCTACTCCCAGCTTTGTATTGATCTTGTGAATAAGATTTTGCCTTGTGGAAGGGTGACCACCCTCTTAATCTCACTCCCCTACTTCCAGTCTTGTTCCTGGCTTTCTGTGTTCTAGGAGACATCATTTTTCATCGTTGTTTGAGACTCTTATGGGATGAAAGAAATGGTTCAAGACCTAGCCTTCTCTCCTTGGCTTTTTGGACCATATTGTTTAGGGCAATTATTCTTAATTTTTTTTTTTTTTTTCCATTTGAGACAGGATTTCCCTTGTAGCCCCAGCTGGCCTGGAACTCACTATGTAGACCAGGCTGGCTCACAGAGATCGGCCTGCCTCTGCCTCCTGAGTGCTGGGATTAAAGATGTGTGCCACCACACCTGGCTCATTTAATTTTTTTTTTCAAAGACAAGTCTGATTTTTTTGTTTGTTTGTTTCTTTTCAGAGCAGTTTTAAGTTCATAGCAAATGAAGAGGGTACAGAGACTTCCCATTGACCTTCTACCCCACATAAGCATGCATACCTTTCCCCAGACTTCTTTTTTTCCATTTTTAAACTACAAGAGGGATTTACTAAATATACTTGGTTTCCAGTTGACCTGTGGATTCAAGCTACAGAGTCAGAATTCTATTTATTTCCATAAAATTTGGGCAAGTTACGTAACCTCAGTGGGCCTCAATCTCTGTGTTAGAGATCTTAGGATAATATATACAAAGAACTCAGAACACTTCTTAATATATGCTCCATGCCCCAGGATGTTGACTGGTTAGAACTAGTGATGAACTGCGGTATATGATTGAGAACTCCAGAGGTTTAGTAAACTTCTGTATCTCTCACCCCACCCTGTATATTTTTTTCTTCATATTTGCCCCCTGTAGTGGTGGGAATCAGTCTGATGGTCTCATGCATGCTAGATGAGTGCTCTCCTGCTGACCTTTTGACTCTTTAATCTTTTTATTTTTACTTTTTTTTTTTTTTTTTTTTGGTCTTTTTGAGACAGGGTCTCCCTGTAGCTCTGGTTGGCCTAGGACTTGCAATGTGGACCAGGCTGGCCTTAAACCCACAGAGGTCTGCCTGCCTCTGCCTCCTACATGCTGGGATTAATGGCATGCACCACCGTGCCCTTGACTCTTTAATCTCTACTGTGGCCTTTTTTCTGCCTTTGAGATTTTATGTTACTCTCTGAGATTTTATGTAACTTTCTCTGAAAGATTGAAAAGAATCTTGAGGCTCACATATCTCTTTCAGCAATATTGGCTCAGGAGTCAACTAATTCAGAATAATTTTCTCTCCCTCACCCTCTAGGAGGAAAAGGCTAAAGCATACAAGAAAGAGAAACAGAAGGAGAAGAAAAGGAGGGCTGAGGAGGACTTGACATTTGAGGATGATGATGAGATGGCAGCTGTGATGGGCTTCTCTGGCTTTGGTTCCACCAAGAAGAGTTATTGAAGCTCTCTGTTTGGCCTAACTTTGGCCTATACTGGACCTAATTTTGTGTGTGTGTTGAGGTGGGAGGAGGGGTGTCATTTCTTTGGGAACTGGAGAAAGTCCTTAAGAACGTTAATGGGCAGGGCTAGAGGGTGGGTGTCTGTGGTTTCCCTCTACATTGGGAGAGGGTGCAGGATGTAGAGGTAATGCTGTGGCATATTACTTCAGCCTCAGTGTGTCACTGGAGTCCCACGACCTATGCTCATCTGTGTTCCCAATAAAGAAAGACCTCCCTCTTTGAGGCTGCTTCCCCAAAATTCCCCTGCATCTTTCTCTCTTCATCTATCCAACCTCTTGTCTGAGCATCCTCCTCTTTCCTGTGTTCTGCTTTTGTTTCAGTTTTGACTCTTGTTGAGCTTGTGACAGAAGGGTTCTCTAGGTCCCCAGTGTACAGATGATGGCATATCCTTGACCAACTCCCCCTCCGATCTCACCCAATGGTCCTCTAGCCACTTGTGCATGCATGTGTACTTCTGCCTGGGTCAATGGTGTGTGTGGATATGTGTGCATGATCTGTCACAAAGAGGGAACCTGAGCTAGCCTTTCAGAGCACTGCTGCCTGGGGGCCTAATGTTCTTGGTCTCCTCAGCATGTAACAGGCAATTAAATGGGATGAGTGTTTGGTGTGGTTTGTATCTGGTGAGTTTTTTAACATTGTTCTTCAGATTTTGGGTGTTTCACTTTACTGAGGATTTCTCTATTTTGTCTTCCTTGTGAGCAGGTTCTTGGAAGAACCTGTTTGATGCAAAAAAGAATGAAACAACAAAACAACCCTAGAACCAAACAGTCACTCTGGGAGACCTTGGGTCTCAGGATGTTCAACATGTATAATAAATAACACTGACTGGGCCTGTTTCACATTTGTTGGGGACATTTCCATGTATTTCTCTGTTGCTCTTTCTTCCTTCACTGAAGATTTCTGTGTAGAGCCTTTCCCTTTTCATTTGACCCATCACTCCCCCCCCCCCCCGGTCCTTTTGAACCAGGGTCTCCCTATAGCCCCAGCGTACCTGGCACTAGCTTTATAGACCAGGTTGGCCTTGAACTCACAGAGATCCCCCTGCCTCTGCCTCCTGAGTGCTGGGATTAAAGGTGTGCACCACCACACCCTGTGACCCATCACTTTTTAAAAGGATTTGTTTCTTCCATGTGAGCAGCTTTCCCCAATAGGATCTGTGTCTGTAAATGTCTGAATGAAACAGTTTAGCCTGTGATTTTAGCACACACTGATCATGAGCAGCAGAGCTCAGGGTTGGACTTACCTGCAGTTGAGCTAGGCACTGGCTTACTCGTATTGATGTTTTGAGCCAGGTAAGTATGGGCTGTTCTGTGTGTTGTAGGGGGTATTCATCTGCAGCCCTGGACTCTGCCCAGTAGATTGCAGTAGCATCCCCTCTTCTATTTAGTGACATCTAGAAATATCTTTGTTCCCTGGGAGTAGGTAAATAACCTTCCATCAAAAACCAGTAAGAAACTACATGGCACAGTCTGGTTGAAAACAAAACTGAAACATGGCTAACTCCTGGGTCAGATACTGTGTCTTATCTAGGGAATACGAGAGTGAGATTGGGGAGGAGAGTTAGGGAGGCAGTCTTGCACACGCCACAAAGAACAATAGTCATGTAAACATTTGACCCCAAACTCCTTGGGATCCATCTGGGTTAACAAGACTGCTACAATATGACTTTCTTTCCTGACCCATGCAGTTCCTCAGCTTTCTGTAGCATCTGAACTACTGGATCCCACAAAGCATTGTATCTTCCTTTTGGGTATGTGTATAAGATTTCCTTGCTGCCAGGCCTGCTGTTTACCTAGTGAATTCTGATACTGAATCTAGGAACTGGGGACATAATATGAATGTGTCCATCCAGCCCAAGACCTGCGTCTGGATTTTAAATATAGTGCTGGACATTGTGTCACACCCCTGTAATCCCAGTGCTTGAGAGGCGGAAGTAGGAGGATTGCTTACAAGTTCAAGGCCAACCTGATCTATATAGCAAGACCCTCAAAGACAAGAAGAAAGAAAAAACCTCACAGTGTTTGCAAGTCAACTAGGGGTAAATTAATTGGTGCATTCCTTGGCTGGGTTATGTACATTCTAAGGCCCATGAGAGAAGGTACCCTGGTTGAATGCATCTTCATTACTTTTCCAAAGTAGGCTGGACAAGGTTCAGCAGAAGAGTTTCTCAGTGTTCATTCTTTGGGAAATCATCCGTGCAAATTAGCTCCAAGTGACTTTTTTCCTCTAGTATAGCGAGATCACCTCTGCCCATCTTTATTATGTATTCTAGTTTCTGTAAACTTTTGGGACTAGCAAGTAATCTCTAGTTGACCTGGCTCTATTTGGAGGGGCTTAAGATGGTGACTTGGAAAGGGACAGGTAGGAGGTGGGGTGGGATTTAGAACCTAGAACTGAACAGTCATAGATAGATTAGGAATCTCTGGAAGAGAAAAACCATGAAACTTGCATTATGGTTGCGTGTGCCTGTCATGTGTCCATTCAGTGAGTGCTTAGGAGGTGGGGTTTTTTTTGTTTTGTTTTGTTTTTTTGTTTTGTTTTTTTAAGATTTTGCCTGGGTGTGGTGGCACATACCTTTAATCCCAGCACTTGGGCGGCAGAGGCAGGCAGATCTTTGTGAGTTTGAGGCCAGCCTGGTCTACATAGTGAGTTCCAGGACAGCTGGGACTACAAGGAGACCCTGTCTCAAAAAAGAAAAAAACAACAAAAAAAGATTTTTGGGTCTGGAGAGATGGCTCAGTGGTTAAGAGCACTGACTGCTCTTGCGGAGGACTGGGGTTCAGTTCTCCATCACCTGCATGGTGGCTAACAGCCGTCTATAACTCTAGTTCCAGGGGATCCTCTTAACTGCTGAGCCATCTCTCCAGCCCCCAATCCAGCATTTCTATTCATAAGCATCTTTCTTTTTCTGAGATAGGATTTTCATGTAGTCCAGGCTAGTCTTGAACTCACTATGTAGCCAAAGATGACCTTGAACTGTGATTCCTCTTGCCTCCACCTACCAAATATTGGGATTTTAGGTATGTGCTACCATGTCCAGTAGAAGGATCTATCAAACCTGTGGGGTTGGAAGAGTAGCTTAGTTGGTAAAGTGCCTACCATGTACAAAGCCCTTGGTTCAATCCCCAGCACCCCACAAAACTGAGTGTGGTGGCACACACCTTTAATTCTAACACTCGGGCAGAGGCAGGCAGATCTCTGTGAGATGGAGGCTAGCCTTGTCTACATAGTGAGTTCCAGCTGGGGTCACAGGAAGACCATGTCTCAAAAAGCTAACAAAATTCAAGGTCATCCTAAGTTGTATAGCATGTTCCAGGCCAGCTTGTTGACATGAAGCTCTTGTCTCAGACTTGCTTGTGGAGGAGTGCTTAGTGTGCACGAAGCCCTGGATTTGAACCTAGAACTCCAACAGCAAAAACAACCAAGTTTGGTGGTGCACTTGTAATTCTGTACTGTTAATTCTGCACTGTAATTCTGACAGGCAGGATGGCAAGTTTAGGGCCAACCTGGACTATATAGTGAGACCCAGTCTCCAAAAGGCAAACATAATATACTTTTGTATTCATCCAAAGATGTATAAGGATGTTTACTTCAGCTTTAAGAAAGAAACATTTAAAACCAGTACATTTAATACAGTCATTACAATGTAAGTGAATTAAGTCTATACCTACAGGAAAGCT